TTAACTCCAACTCAACATCCTTCAGAACAGCAGGAGGAATTACCCAACATGCTACAGTTATCACTTCCTTGCTGCTAGGCCATGCCCCCTACCTGCATGGCTTCCAAAGCTTCCTTGAGCTGCTGCTTCTCAGGCCGATCTGACGAGTGGCTGAGAAGCTCCTGGAAGAAAACATTGCAGGACCGTGAGTGAAGTTTCACACACTACTGCCCCCATCATGTTACAAGCACATGCTACAAGCTATAAAGCAATTACTGCATGTCACTCTGAACACAGAGCAGCGGCACTCTGGCAGGCGGTCCTCGGCTATAACTAGAAGGGGAGGCACCAGCAAAAGCTGTTTGTTTTCAGTGGCTCCATGACACAGAGCTGGCGGGAGGAATTTCACACGTAATCAGATTATATGCAAGCTTATTTTATATTCATTAGCTGCCTCTCCTGGCTAACAAGTGTGGAATTACCCTAGGTCGCTGTACTTTAAAAGACGGCACAGATATTGTGTCGTGCTAAGCAGCTGTAGTAATTATTTTGTTCACAGGATAAAAAGCCCTTGCTCCACGCTTCAAAATGATGATTCCATTTTCTGCTGGAAAAGCCCAGGGACGCAACAGCGGGGGAAGGCAGCCACGAGGATATTCGGATGCCGAAACACTTACTTTTAATAGGAGATGATACTTCAAGACCCTCTGCATTGGGACCACCAGCAGATCTTGCAATTTGAACTTTCCTTCCTGAACCTTTAATGTGCATTCCTGACAAACAAGAAAGCAAAGCAGTGGGGAAAAGACAAACAGTTATAAGGCAGATTTGGTTTGCTCCTGTTAACTCTTAAAACATCATTAATTCCCGATTTTCCAGTACACCTCCTGGGTTAGAAGGGATAGGGTTTTCAGTTAAGTTTTATAGACAGTGCCTCCTACCTTTTCCAGTGCTAGCTATGCTATTCTGCACTGCCCTGGAGGAAACCTAGATTTGAGGTCTTGCTCCTGTCCCCTGCCAGGAGAAACTATAGCAGACACAATCCTCATGCTTTGCTCAGTGACCACTCCAGCTGGCTCAGAGGCTAGATTGCTAACTTCTGATGGAAATCCTATCTGGTCTTCATAGGGGAAATTTTAACTGGGACATTGTGCGACTCTGACCCAGATCCACTAAGGTAAAAAAAATACATGTCTACACAAACGCTCCCTTAGCCCAGGCCATATTTAACATCAGATGCCTGTGCATTGAGATGAGACTGATTCACTGCCGACTAGATTCCCTGGCTAGACTGGCTCTGCTACCAAATGGAAATGGAGTTAAGTGAGGAAAAGTGAGCAAATGGCTAGAGGTCACAGCAGCTGCACCTCTGATTCTGGGACTAATTTGGACCACAACATTTTGATGCAAAACCCAGAGATGCATGTTTAAAGAACAAACCCAGTTATTCTGTGCGAGCGTTGCTGCTTTTGCACACGGAATCAAAGCCCATTTGCAGAACATAAAGTAACAGGCCCCGACAGCCCAGCATGTCGAGATTAACATCAAGCCAGATACAAGAATTAGTGTGGGAAACAAATAGCAGCTCAAAGGCCTTGTCTTGTCTTGGGTTTCTTTGTTTTGCACAATAATCTGAATCAGACCCTATTTACATTGTCACTTAAATCAGAAAGGAAAGGGAGTCTAGTGGGTAGGCCTAGTGGGACACCCTAGCTAGTCTTTGAATACGAGAGGCTAGGGTTGA